ATGTTTTTTAAAATTAAAGCTTCTTGATCTGAACGATATTGCTCTTCGCTATTTTATGCATCTATTTAAATTGTGATATTTTTATTATTAAGATCAAAATATTTTGCAAATTTTGAGAAGGGTAATTCCAAAATATCATTTTCTGAAGAAAATACGTAGTTCTGCCTCAAAATTCTCTCCCATGTGTATCTCCATTGCCAGAAATTTATGTTAAATTAGATTTATAAACCTGATTTTTGAATATAAATTCATAAGTAAATTTAAAATTAATGATATAATTATGATATTTCGATTCGATAGTATATTATATAAAATTTTAAAGTAAGTGTAGTAACTTGCTATTTAGCTACTTTTCTAAAAAGGAGAGCGGCATCGCTATTCCTATTTTTTTTAGTAGCGTGCTATTAGATACCGCTACTAACGTTACTTTAACAACTCTTTTTTCCGATATAAAAAAATAATCACCGACTAAAAAAGATTTTTGAAGATTACTTTTTATAAAATAAACATTTTTTTAAACAAAGGAATGAAAGGACAGGTTTAAGCTCTCCTCCCAGAATTATAATAAAATACATAGAATTATGTAATTTTAAATACATGGAATTTTTTATCAAAAGACATTCACAATTTATTTTTAATCATGGCTTTCATATAAATATTGGTATTTAGTTCCATATAAAAAAAATTCCCGATTTTCAAATAACATAATTACTTAAAACAAGAAAAATAATTTAATTACCTGGCAATTTCCTTTTATTCATTAATATTATCATGTTATATTTTGAATTTGGACATATGAACTTTTATAATAGCTATTAACTTTGGACATATCAGGGACGAAGCGTCCATAGAAGCAAGGGAAGCATTGCTTCCCTTGAAATTTTTTTTACAAAATTCTTAGATAAACTTAATATAATCTTTATACTATGCTAAAAAAAAATAAAATTACTTCCTTAAAATAATTAATATATTTTTTATAACGTTAAAAAGATTTATAATATTTTACTACGACAAAAAATTTAGGTTAAAAAATTTACTATTATTTTTACTATGTTCAAAAATTTACTATTATTTTTCCTACTTAAAAAAATTTACTATTATATTTACTATGTTAAAAAATGATGGAAGCAAATTTAATATTGCATAGAAAACTTTGATGTTTTTTGGAGAAATTTAAATGTAAAGGAAAATATTGAAGACAATTTAGATAAAAAAACGTAATAGATCCGGATTGCCTAATACAAGAGAATTTTATAAAAATTTGATAATTAAAATAATAGATACTATAATCAATGAAATTGATTTTCGGTTTGATACATTAAAAAATATCAAATTCGTCAAATTGTTAGATATTAGTAAATTTCAAATATTTGATCAAAATTTCCCAAAATATTTATTGACACTTATTCTCAATTTTTCGACTTACACAAGCTGGAAACCGAATTAAAGGTAGTGTTTCGTGACGATGAATTTAGAAAGAGAAAAAATGTTTATGCTTGAATTTTTAATTAATACCGATTTGATGAAAAGTTTTAAAGAGTTTTTTAAATTATGCAAATTCATTTTAACTTTGCAGAACGGGGGTTTTCATCTTTAAAAATAATCAAATCTTATTGTAGAAACAGAATGAGTCAAAATCGATTATCGAATCTAGCTTTGATTTCTATTGAAAAAAAATTATTGAAAAATTTAAAATCTAGTAATAACTTTTATAATTCAGTACTTGATCTATAAATCTTAGTTTTTTATGGTTTGACTAATAAATAAAATAAAAAAATTTTATTGCTTCCCTAGTAGTAAACTTGACGCCTCGTCACTTGGACATATGAACTTTTATAATAGCTATTAACTTTGGACACGCTAATAAAGTGACTTTTGATGTACCCCAAAATAAGTGATTACCAAAACAAGAATGTTTCTAAGATTGATATCAATTAAAGATTGAAAAAAAAATATAGACTAATAATTTTAAAAAATTGAATAAACGAAATTGCTATATCATTATTATGAAAAATCCCTTTTTATATCGTATATTATAAAATATGAGACTCAATGTCTCTGGTTGCAGCTTTGATATTTTTTTATTATCTTCAGATTGAGTTGTTTTTTTTTTTGGGGGGGGGGGGGGGATTATCTTTAGCTCACCAAAAATAAGATGGATTAAGGTGTAATAGAAAAAACAATTATATTAGATAAATTTTTACCCTCTAGTACTAAGGTTGAGCGATTGTATAATAATGTAATATTAAGTTCACTTTTATAATCGGAATTAGAAAAGGTCAAACTTCTATTCTATACGATTATAGTATCTTTGGAAAGTGTCAGATTTTTTTTTATAGTTATTACAATTTTTGTTATGTAAAAATTAGATTCTAAAATAAAATATGCCTATAGTATTGTTTTTTATAGCTGCGTTTACTTTAAGAAAGGAGGAAGGGGAGTTTTAATTAGTGACCAGCTCAGAAATCGACGTTGTTTTTAAATCTAGGCATTTTACATTTAAATTCTAATTTAATATATTATAAAATCTCTAATCATCAAGATATTAATCATATTGTTTAATCTTGATCCTTGTAATTTACTCTTACTCCTAATTAATGAGTGATAAAAGATAAGCTTTAAAAAATTAGATTCAAAATTCATATATGGTGTTAGATCAAAAGCTGTTTTTAATGTGTTCAGCTTAAATATTGAGCTAACCTCTACTTTAAAAATATGAGGTTTAGAACCTACCGAGCAACAATTGTAAATAAATGGTCGTATTAATTTTTAGACTCCTGGAAAATAATTGTTAACCCAAAGATTTTAGAATAAATTTGATATTTTAGAATGAATATCTTATATCCAAGGCAAAGTCTGACAAAAACTCATAACTTTCTATACTGTACAAACCTTATAAATTTTGAAATATTATTCCTGCTTGGCTAATGGCATGATTATTTCTGCTTGGCTAATGGCATGTAGGGCTTCAAAATTATTCTATACTTTATACTAAGATTGATAGATAACAAAAATGTTACATTAAGCTTCTTTTGAATCCACAGCGACCAAGTACGAAGCTATTTTACCCAAAGTTTATTTCTTTTTTATGTATAATCTATTATTACAAGATGGAGGGTTATCAAACATTCACAGATTTAAAAAACTCAAGAAAAAAAGCAGTGATCTCCTAAAAACTATAATACCATTTTAATGTAAATAATAAAAAATCTTTATTAAATACATTTTCAAATTTTTACCACAAATTTCTTAACTCAATTTTGTTAGCTCTAATAAAAACTTAATGTGCCCCCCCCAATAGTCCTATATTTATTAATTCTAAATAAATGATAATTTAGAATTTAAATTACCCATCTCCACCAGAATTTATTTAAAATAATTTTTTCAATTAGATGAGTTGAGATCATTCACTATTTGCCTATTTTTTGACACACTAAAAGGGATTATTAACTTTCGTATTCTGTATGAAGATAATAATATAGAAAGTAGGGATGTACCGATATTTTTATCGGATTGGGCCAATTTTTCACCCATTTTAAAATATCGGTTATTGGCCAATATTATAAAATTTCCTGATCCGATCCGATAAAAAATGACGTTTTTAACAAAAATATGTCATAAAATTTTTAAAAAAAGTTATATCTATTTATTTTTATAAATAAAATCGAAATCCATTTATTATATATTTTTAATAATAATAATTAATTAATAAACATTCTGCCATATTGTTATTTTTTTTGCGCATTGTGTTTATAAAAGTGTGCGATAATCTCTGCATAATCTGTTTTTAGTGAAGCTGGTGATATTGTCAGTTAGCATTGTCACAGACTGATCTCTGATAAATTGGAAATTTTGGTATTTTTAAAAAGAAATCTTCGATATATTAATATTAAATATTATTTTAATTTATTTCAAATTTCATAATATATTTGTTTATTACTAAATATGTATACAGATTAATGTTATTACTTATTATATAAAAGTAATTTAACAATAAAAATATACTTTTAGAATTGCAATTAAATTGAATATAAACTATAACTGATCATTATAATATATTTAAATGACATAAGTTATGGTATAGTTAGATTTTAGATGTTATACTAATAAAAAGTATATTTAAAATTAGAACCATTGGTATCTTTACAGAATACAAAATTTGATTATCGGATCGGTAATAAGCCAATATCAATTTAGGGAATATCGGATAAGATTGGCCACCAAAAAGTGGTATCAGTACACCCCTAATAAGTAGGTTCTATTTAATGCTATGGTGTCTTCTTTAACATTAAAATCCAGCTACTCTTAATAAAATTTGCCTTAATTCTTTTGTAATTAAAAAAAATAATATACCTTATGCAGAGACCTGCAGAGGTACCATTTGCATGGCCCCAGATTTTTTGCAGAGATACCATTTGCCAGCCTGGGTTTTATATTTTCAGGCCTAGTCTAGATTTTTTTTTTTTAATTACGATCCAGCCATGATTTTCTTAAAATATATTACATTAATTTTTTATAGCCAATAATGGTGATCTAGGATATTTAGTCTCATAATATATGGCCTGACCTGGGTGATTTTTAAAAAAAAATTTTTTGTAAGCCTGGCCCAGGTTATTAAAAAAAATAAAATATGGCCTGGCCCATGTACCCAGTCTTGCAGGTCTCTGATTTTATGAATCAAAAAATATTCAAATAATTATTTAAGTAGTTTTATATTCATTATATAATGTTCAAACTAAAAATCTGTCTATTATGTTCATTTACACATATATGGTGTATATTGAAATATAATCAATCTGGTTATCAATTTAAAGGATATTTTCTAACAATAATTTTATTGTGCCCAATATACATATTTTTGTTAAATTATTTTTTTTTTGTGTTTTTCTTCAAGATATTTTCATATTTAGTTTTGCTTTTGTACCAAAATAGGAAAGGAATGAGCAAGGAAGGAAGTGTCATAATGGCAAATGTAAACCAATCAATCTGATTAATTATATCATTAAAAAGGTTAAATGTTAAGATGTTTAAATTTAATAAAATTTATTTTTATAACAATTTGTTGCACAATGATAAATTAAAAAAAATAAAAATTATGTAAGTATAAAATGGTCATTTTATAAAAACAGAAGTTGGACTACAAGTTTCCATAGAAAATATTGGTTTTATATGAATATTAGAAAATATCAGATTAGATTGATAAAAAATTTATGGATTGAAACTGTCCCAGTTACCGAACTAGTAATCTTTTTATGGTTGTAACTAAAGTAACTTTTAACAAAACTAGTCTTGGGTATAAATTTTTAAATAATTTACCAGATGAGATGAAAACAATTTTTGATATTCCTTCAACGGTATAATATGGACAACACCAGGAGCACTTGTATAGAATGACTTGTAAATTTATTTCATTTTATAAATTGATGTCATTTAATAAAAATTGAAGTTACTTATGCAATGCAATATAATATATAAAATTAATAATTATTCAATTTATGCTATTTTTTATACAGTTTAATTAGACATAACTAACTTGATGTTTAACTGAATTGGGTGAATCAAGATATGATATCTCTGCAAATGTTAGGTTATAATTGCCTGCAAATTTAGGTTTCAATATTATAGAGTGCGTGACATTTTCTTTACTAGATTTAATATTTTTATAATTAAAAATATAAAAAGCAAGGATAATAAATAATCTAACCATTAACTATAATATATTTTTTAATTGACAATAATAAAGGAACATCACCAATAATTTAAAGATAAATATTATCTTAAGATAAATTCTAAACGTTATTTCTAAAATAAATTCTTACGCATTAATCTTATCCCATTTAACATCTGCTATACCATGTTCTGTAATAAAAGAATCTGCATCAAATATTTTATCCTTCAACGTAATATCATAAGCAGCACTTTAAATTGATAATAATTATATTATCATTTATATATAATTACTCATCTCCAATGTTATAAATATTAAAAACAATGATTAGGTCTTTATCTTGAGCAACATATTTATTGACTAATATTTTAGATGCTATTAAAAATGCAGGGGTAGTTTTTATATCATGTTTATCACTATCTTGAGAATAACTCAGGATAAATAATGCCAAAAGTGAACAAAAGAATATAATATTTATCTTATAAGACTTCATACGCGTGTAGACGTGAAAAAAGAAGGATAGAAGATTGGAATAAAAAAAGTTATCGCTATAGTGTCCGTTAGGAAACAGCAACTATAATTTAACTTACTTATGAAAATAGAGAGGTCTATACTTTACTGATATTGATTAATTATTAAACGAATTAAATTTTATGTGGGCTTCCATATCAATTATCAAATCTATTAGCAGAAATTCCGAAATGAATTTGAAGCATGGAGTTCCTCATAAAAATTACACTTATAATTAATAATTAAGAGCCGCTTGATTATAAAAACGGTATAATTTTACAAAAATTGGAAAAACAAGAAATAGGTTAAGGCATGTATGACTGGTTTAAAATTTTTTAAATCTTTCTTATTTTTTTCCTTACCTGTTTTACGTCATGTACCTTGTACCTATTAGATGGTTAACACTTATAACAGCGATTGATATGATATTTTATCATTCTCTAAAAAATATTTTTTATATAAAAATAATAAAAGTTGTTCTATGATTTTTTATAGTTATTACATACGATTTTTTTTAAAAATGCTACACACGATTTCGACTCTTTATTTTACTTTATTAATACTCACAAATTTAAATATATAATAATCTATTAACGCGGAAACCAAAAATTAATCAATTCAAAAAAAATTACTAAAAAAAATTAATCAATCAATTATATTTAAAAAATCTAATAATAAATTTATTGAATGATTTTTCCCTTTTTAAAGGATTTTTATATTTTTTAAATTTTTACAAATAAATACAAATTTATTAATAATCGAATAAAAAATATATTTTTTATTAATTGTGACTCATGAAAATAATATTATTTTTAAGACGATGACTCAATAAAATAATATTAATTTTACGACGATGACTCAATAAAATATTTTAAATTTTACGACGATGACTCAATAAAATATTATAAATTTTTATACGCTGACTAAAATAAAAAGACATATATAACACGCCCCCACTATTTGAAAACCAAACCTCGCACTCCAATCTTTTTCAACAGAATATACATATATTGATTCCTATTCTAGCGAGATGTTATAAACTCAGGTATTTATATTGGACATTCTCTCAGGATACATTTCTGCAACATGATTTTCCTTTATAATTTTAGATAATTTATTTCCATATTGCCCCTCCTCATATCCCCGATCGCTATCTTCCCGGTTCCACTCCTCTTTTCAATTGGTCCCGATGCCGAAATCCCTCTCTCCCGTCGGTGAATTGCACTCGATTTAATTTGTGTCCTAGGTTTTCCATGATCACCCCGGATTTCCACCTTCTTGTACCGCCATATATTCTTGCCCACACGGGCTGTCCCACTCCAAACTCAGGCGTTTCTGTTATCTCCCTTTCCGTCTCTTGTTGGGGTTTCGGCTTTAATAAATCCAATAGTATTCTGGTTCGCCTCCCTAAAAACTTTTTGGCTGGAGATTGTTCTTCCCTTTTCGACTGTTGTTATAATATGCTACTGCTATCCAAATTTCCCCATCTCCACACTTTAATTTTCTTAACCAGTTCTTGACAACCGATACCATCCTTTCTGCCTGACCATTCGAGCTCGGATGATATGGTGGTGCTAAAATATGTCTTACTCCAGTTTCCAAACAGAACGCTTTAAATTGTACATTGATAAACGCCGGACCTCCGCCAGATACTATCGTTTGAGCAACTCCAAACCTGGCCCATAGATTTTTCAACGTTTTCACTACTTGCGTTGTTAACCCCCTTACTTCCTCATACTCCACCCATTTTGAGTACGCGTCCACCACTAGTATATAAATCTTATTCTCAAAGTCAAAGATTTCAACATTTATCCTCTCCCACGGCTGCGTCGCCTTTGGTCAAACACTGTCCTTATGAGGCATCTTGGCACGTATTGCACATCAAACAACTCCTACTGATATTCTTTATATCTCTATTCATTCCCGGCCACCATATATATTCTCTGCCCCATTGTTTCATCTTCTCCACTCCTTGATGCCCCGCATGTATCATTGTCAACACAGTATCCCTTAATTTGAGCGGTACTACACCTCTATTCTCTCGTACCACACAATCATCTACTATGGCCAAATCTTTTTCTATATATTTGTAAGCTTTGTTTGCATCTCGCCATATCTTCCGCCCCTTTATGCATGCCTTGATACGTGTTAATTCGCTATCCCTTAACGTGGCCTTTTTGAGTTGTTCCCACGTTACCGGTCCTCCTTTAGACATTCCTGCCATATCCCTAATCAATTCATGCTCATCCTCCTCCTTCTTACCTTTCGACCCACTATCTTCGACATTCTCTCTCGCTCCACATCTCGAAAGAATATCCAGTAAATAATTCTCTCTTTCCCGCCGATATTTTAATTGTAAGTCAAAACTGCCCACTAGTAATAGCCATCTCTGTAGTCTAGGCGATAACATTAGCTCTTTATTATCTTTCCTAAAAAGATGCACCAACGGTTTGTGGTCTGTGTATATCAAAAATCTACGCCCTATTAAGTACTCCCTACATTTTGTCAATCCAAAAATAACGGCTAAAGCTTCTTGCTCGATAACCGAATATCTAGTTTCCGCCGCCCTAAAAATTCTTGAGAAAAACAAAATAGGTCTCTCCAGGCCGTCTAGACAATGTAATAACGCTCCTCCTACACCTTTATTAGAAGTATCTACGGCCAAAATCACCTTCAAATCGTTATTAAAGCATATTAGAATAGGTTCTCTCCCAATTCGACACTTTAGTTCTTCAAACGCTACTTCCTGTTCCTTTTCCCATATAAATCGTTCTCCCTTCTTCAGTAATTTATACAATGGTGCCGCTATCTGCGCAAAACCTTCCACAAACCGATGATAATAATTTACCATCCCTAGAAAAGCCTGTACTTCCACTTTATTATTTGGTCTCACCATACTGGTTATTCCGGCCATATTTTTATCCAATGGTCTTACTTCTCTTCCATTAATCTTGTGTCCTAGATACACCACCTCCGATACTCCCAACACACTTTTCTAGGCACTCGCGGGCAATCCTTTACCCTTAATTCTTCGGAATACTTCCTCTAATCTCTGGGTATGCTGCTCAAGAGTCACCCCCGTTACTAACACATCGTCCATGTAGTAAAAAAACTCCTTCTAGGCCTTGAAAAACGGCTGCCATAGTTCGCTGAAAAATAGGAGCTGATACACTAAGTCCAAATGGCAATCTACAAAACGCAAACAATCCTTTCGGCGTAGTAATGGTCAATAGATGCTGCACCTCTAGCTTCACCCGCAATTGTAGGTAGGCATTTGAAAAATCCACCTTTGAAAAATATATACTTCCTTTAAGACTGGCTAATATCTCCTCAATTCGCGGCAAGGTATATTTCACTTCCATTACCCACGGGTTTAACGTGACCCAAAAATCCGCGCACAACCGGAGCTTTCCGTTGGCCTTCTTTACCGGCACCAATGGCGTTGCCAACTCGCTGTATTCCACCGGACACACATCCAATTCTATTTCCACTTCTCTCCGTTACTCGAACGGTACTCGTCGCAATCCACAAAATTTTGGCATACAGCCCTCCTTCATTTTGATATCAACTTCATAATCTCTCAGACATCCTAAACCTTCATCAAAAATTTCTTGATAATTATCCACTAATTTACGTACTCCTTCTTGCACTTCGATTATTCCTAATTTCATCTCTTTATTTTGCAATTCCGTGTCGTTACGCAGATCCGTTTTCTTTATTTCCACTTCAACTCCTCGAATACACGCTTTTCCTTTCCCCTTTTGTTCTTACTCTTCGATCTCCTTCATCCACATCTCGGGCAACCTCCCTTCATTCCAAAAATTCCCATCGTCTTCCACCCAACAGATCTTCCCCATTTCTCTACTAGAATTATTCTCCCCGATTTTTTTCTTAGAAATTCGCCCCAATTACCCCCTTAGAATTACCTTTCACCAATGAGTTCCCCCCTATTACTCCCCAATGAGTTCCCCCGATTATTCCCCAATTAGTTCCCCCAATTACTCCCCAATGAGTCCCCCCGATTACTCCCCAATGAGTCCCCCTTATTACTCCCCAATGTGCTCCCCCCCAATTACTCCCCAATGTGTCCCCCCGATTACTCCCCAATGAGTCCCTCCAATTACTCTCCAACGAGTCCCCCGATTACTCCACAATGAGTCCCCCCAATTACTCCCCAATGAGTCCCCCCTATTACTCCCCAAGGAGTCCCCCTGATTACTTCCCAATGAGTTCCCCCGATTACTCCCCAATGCGTTCCCCTTATTACTTCCCCCGATTTCTCTTCCCAAAATATTCTCCCCTATTTCCCTTCTAGAATCATGAAACCCTATTCCTAGAATCATGAACCCCTATTTCCCCTTCAGAATTTACTTCGCTTATTCCAGATGTTAACTCATATCAAAATCTAGTATGTTAGATATATTGATAAAGCAAAAACACCTAAAATCTTGGAAGAAATTATGTTTGGAAGAAATTATGCAGATATATTGAAGCCTTTGAATTATTTACAATTTAAGTGTGCCAAATTAGAAATAAATAATTTTGGAGCTAGAAAATAAGTACTATAGTGATATGATGAAAGCAATTAAGATCTTATATATTATTGTATTGTCAATGTATTCAAATATTTTTAATTAAATTTTTCAGAAACTTTGGTCATATCAAAAGAAAGCATTTACTGTTTTTTTCTGATTTTTTCCTATCTCAAAAAGAATTTTTTTATAAGCACCATGTCTTTAAGCTAATTTTGGATGAAAAAAAAAATTTATAAAATAAATATTAAACGATATATTTACTCGCAGATACTAACGCCTAAAATTGCGTTTCAAAAATTATAAGGTTAAATTATTTATAAAATAAGTTCTCTACGCCGGCTAGTCATTATTGCATATTCATCTATAATGTGATCTATAGGAATGGTATTAATAATATTTTTTTCTATGCTCAATAGAGCCAACGAATTTAATCGTTCCTGACCCATTGTCGATCAAAGATATGTTTTC